CTTCAACGTCAGGTATAAAAACCGATGTCTCTGGAAATCTCTCTCTCTTCGTTCGTTTCTCTGTAGTCATGTAGCCGGCTGCTTTGTATTGTGTGTTGTAGTTGCTTTGTCAGTGTTGTGTCGTCTATGTTCATTGTAATTAATATGCCTAGGTGTTTCAAGATATACAATAAATTGGATTACTAATCTACTAGACTGCCTCGTCGATCTTTACATAAAAAATGCATCAACATACAGAAAATCTCACCACCAGCCACGCCCTATCCTTTGGTTCGCAACAGTAATCAGCCACTCGCCACGTCTTACAATTAGTTCTACCAATTCCCAGAAATATCATAGAATGATGATAATTATATATATATATATATAATTATCATAATATATATATATATATATAGCAATATTTAAAATAAATTATCTAAATTTTACAAAAATCACAATTATGAGAGAAATTTTTAGCAATTAAAAAAATTCTTTAAAGCAGTTTGTGAAAAAGCAATAAATGTTTTGCTAAAATAAACTACATATATACATTTATCAAAAAAAGAGCTAACATTTTATTGTTTTATTTAAATATAAATATTTTAGAACTGATCATTTAAATATTTTTGAAATGTCGCATATTTATGTGAATATTATTGGAATAACAGGTCACATATAAAACATATAGATGTTTACTAAGCACATTCTCAAGAAAATAATATAACTCTCTGGTTCGAAAAGCTTCATAGAAATACATTTATAATATTTTTGAGTTATCAGGCTCTCATGATAGATTTTGAGCAATTTAAATGCACACTTCTGTTAGATAGAATATCCGTTTCCGGTTTTTCTAATTTTACGTAATATATTGTAACTCGACTTCTTTGAAATGTAGAAATAAAATAATATGTTTTGTGCAGCCAAAGATTGCTTCATTCAATTAAATAATCATAATAATAAACATGAAAAATGTGTAATTTGATACCTTACGAATGGAAGAAAAAATATTATTTTAATGTGAAATAAAGTATAAAATTTTATGGTAAATTATCTAGCTTTTCAAAGCAAAATTATGAAGAAACCGAAACATTATAACAACTTTCAATCCTGAATAACGCCAATTTGGCTTCTGAATTACAAATATAACTCTCTATAATGACGACAGTTTATTGTAGCCGCTGTGTGATATTAGGAATGTGAGAAAACGTAACATAGTGTTCCTGAAAACATTTCGTAACATATTAAATAAAGCTTGGAATGAGTAAACTAAAACTCGGGGTCATATCCCTAGCAGTTTATCAACCTAGAATGTTACAGGCTTAATGAATGATACCCTAAGAGGGTGATGAAACATTGATGACTGCGTCGAAAACTACAATTGTATATATTTCTTAAAGCTTTTCACCCAAGATATCACAAATTTTCTGAAACGAACTCCAATACCAAAAAAAAAAAATACACAGTACGAGTAACTCGACTCCGAACTTTAGGTTGCAACTTCATTTGTGCCTCAACCATGAAACCCGAAGAAAGAAGGTTATTTGTAGATCATGTATTCCATGACAAGAAACAGACGAGAAATAGCAGAACTTTCTTTTTAAAAATAGAGTTCCGCTAGAAATTATGAAAACAGAGCCGCTCTCAAGTTCAGCATCCCCTTTCTCCCTTTTAGCTTTTAGATGAACTGTCATACAGAACATGTGCTCCTTTTCTTTAAAGTAAGGCTGTGAATTGTTTATGGGCACCGCTAAGTAGGAGTCTGTTTTAAGTGGTACTGGCTTTCGGAGTTTGGTTTTTCGCAGTCTCTATACCTTAAGCTGAAATGTAGTGGTACATTTTATGAGACCCGATCAGTTATTATCGCTTCTATCATCGAGTATATTTTTCGATACCACATTGCTTCTAAATCTTTTTTAATTTGAAAATCGTGCTTTTCCAGGTCAATGACTTCTCCTTGTTGTTGATTTCCGTATGGTATCTCTTACGGAGGAACACCGCAGACAGATGATAATGAATAGTTGTTGATAAGGTGATAAGATTGTTACTTAGACGAATTAGTTTATAGTCTGTGGTTGATGAAAACATCTATACAAAACAGCAAATGACCGATTTTTCTTGATTTTGATTTGGCAGCATATTTTTATTCCTATGATAAACCGAGGATCGATAACCATTTTTTTTACCACAACAAATGGTTATTGAACTTATTTCTGTGAAAGATTAATTAACGATATTTAGATTAAATATGTCTTTTACTTTGCTTCACTAACTTCGTTAATGAGATTCGGCTCACTACAAAGAATTTTTCTAAAGCAAGATGGGTTTTCGATTAACACTTCCAAAAGAAATTAATGAAAATAAATGAAAATAACATCTCAAAAGGAAATATTTCAACATTTATATATACTTTTCAAACTAGTAGCAACCTCGTTTACCAGTAATAAAGTCTTCGTAAATGTATTTCCTTTTTTTTACTTCTAAAGTTAATTTAAGTTTATATATGGGAGAGTAACACAAATAAGTTTTAGATAACTTGACATTATTTTCCTATTTTTCTGTTTGGAAATGAACCTTTTAATAATATTCAAATTTGAAGTAATAGTTTATCCAGTGGCCTAACGTACACCCCCGCATTGTGAGGGGAGGACAGGGACTCTAGAGGGGCCAAAGCTTGACTGACATTAAGTACGTATTTGAGCTTGGGGCCCCAAACCTGATTTTGCAGGGGGGTCTTATATTCTCCGTTACGCCGCAGAGTTTATTGCATTTTTATGTTCTGTATGCTGATGACAGAAACGAGATAATTTTTTGTCTGCAGTAATCGATAGGTTAAGTCAGGGGTACTCAACCTTTTTTTCTGCTGGGCCGCATACATATGTTAGTTATTTCACGCGGGCCGTAACATGAGGATAAATGGGGAAGAAATGCTTTAAGACCAAGATAACAATGGAAATTTAAAATGTAAAAAATTGATCAAAATATTATATATAACTCCTGTTTTGCATTTTTTTAATTATTATTTTTTATACTTTTTATTTTTGTCACTAACACTAAATTAGAAACATTTAATAAACACTCCTTCACAATTTCTGCATTATCAATTTAGAATTGATATTTTGTTTATTAACGCCTCCCTTAGAATCAACGCATGGATTTGAGCGATAGATTTCGTTATTTTGAACCATGAGCATATGACGAGAACGATATTTGAAAGCCCCCCCCTTCTCCAAATTTTCTTATCAGTATAAATTGTTGCAATGACCACTCTCATTGGCTAATGAAACGTGAACATCCTTGGCATAGCAAACACATTATGAATTTTATGGACTTATTTTGAGATCGAATCTATAACGTAACAGCAACGACTGCAATGCCAGCCAATAATCTAGACCATGTGTAACGTTAATCCGCCACACAGCTGAAAAGTTGGTTTCTTTTTGCGGATAGGATAACCGCGTTCCTATGCACTCGTGCTCCCGAAAATATTGCGAAGTCTTGTCTTTGGTCATCACCCCGGCAGCTTTTGATACCGTGAGAAACCCCCTACTTCACTCACGAGCCGGATATAACTCGAGGGTAAAGATGCCGACTGCTACCACCCCGAGACCCTAGAGAGGGCAGAAAAAGTCCGTTAAAAAACTTCAAACAGGATGGATGTAATCTCCTCCCTTACAAACAACATAATTGTGATTCTAATAACTTCAATGCATATACTGTAATTTTATAGTTGTGATGCAAATTATCCATATATTTAAATTAATAAATATTACGCTACCATTATTTTTCTCAAACGCCACACCATGATCACTGCCAGTGCAGGTTTATTCAGCGGGCACTTGGAGTGGGCACCCAGGGGCCCGGGGCCCGGAAAATCCCAAATAAGGTATCCAAGAGCCCCTCCTAGGATCCTCCAGTGCCAAAGGGCAGATTTTCTGAGCCCAGGACCTGAAATGAGCTTAAACCGGCACTGATCACTAGGGTATCATGACCATGAAATGATGTGGAAATTAAAAGACTAAAAGAAATGCATATACCAGTTCAGATGACGTTTTGTCATTTGACGGTGTCTCAGAACATTCTGAGGTTCGTCACAAATTATTCTCGTGCAGCCTTAAGGATACGTCAGTTTGAAAGAAGTAGTTAAAATATTTTAGTTTATAGTTCCTGATAAATATCTGAAATATAATTAGTTGATATTTAATCAATTTGTGTGATTATAGTGATATGTAGGGAATTTCTATTATACAGAAACAAACTATATTTAAAAAAGACCGGAATAAAGAGAGATAAGCAGTCACACACACACAACAAGCAGAATTTTCATCTATACATTGCAATGTGTTACAGATCTCTAACAAAATTAAGTTGTTCGAAAGTTGTATAAGCTTGTGCTGGCTCTTTGGCTCATATTTATGTAATTTTTAAAAAACATGGAATCTGGCAGATTGATGTTAATTATTGTGTCAGTTTATTGTTACTTTGACAATCTTTTTTTCATTCATGTTTTCCAAAATGCACTTACGATATTTAAAAGAATCAATATAAACTAATGTTACAATTTATATATTCGATGTGATATCCAATTAACAGGTTTTTCTAATTTTTTTTGTTTTATTTATTCATTTATTTATTTTTTTTAACTGGAACAATGGAATAAATTAACGAAACTGATAATTTACATGATTACGTGAAACAAGTTTAGCAAAAAATTAATGTAAATTGGTTTGAATTTGAATCGTTCTTTTAGGCACTGCTTGCTTATTCCTAGCATCTTATTCAATTCCTACTATTAGTTCACACTCCAAAATATAACTTGTTCAAGTTTTCAATCGTTAGTAAAATACTTTTTATTCATCCACTTAAGTTAAAATACATTTTTTAAACTTGTAGTGGATGACACTTGATGTGTTAATACAGTTTTTTCAAATACTAATTCATTATTTCTATTTAATTAATTAAGGAATAGTAACCAAAATAATAGTCCAACAGCATATATAAAAAGGAAAATCGTTCGTTGTGTACCTGTAGCACAATGGATAGGTCGTTGGAGTTCTAATCCAAAGGTTGTGGGTTCGAATCCCACCTGGGACAGTACCAGTTTAAGCTCATTTCGGGCACTGGGCGTAGAAGATCTCCGAACTTCCTTGGCACTGTCGAATCCAAGGAAAGGCTCTTGGATCCAATTTCCAGCTTATCTGGCCCTTTCTGGGTACCTAATGGATAAACCTGCGCTGGTCTGGGATGTCCTGATTTCTGTGAGAATGTGATTTCTTTTTACAATACTATTTTATTGGAATAATTAAATTTAATTAATGAATAAATACTAACAAACAAAAATAATAGTCCAACAACATATATAGAAAGGAAAATGGAAAATTGCAAGGAAAATCGCTTCCAATTTTGCCACATAATATTGAGATTCCGTCATATGTATAAGCATATTTATATTAATTGTAATTATTTATTAAAAGTAACAAATAAAATTTTTCCTTGTTGAAGTAAGTAGGAATTGACTCAATTTTTTAATGTTTTTTGTTTCTTGTGTATTTTGAATCGTACAGATTAATGTTTAACTGCTGAATTAAGTATCGATTTCTCAATAGGACATTAATTTTCTTTTATTCATCTTTTTTTTACCTCATTTCTTAGAATCTAGCATTTTTATTTCTAAATTTCATCAGAAATCTCTTTCAATGAATAAATTTGTAATTATTGAATGATTTATTTTTAAACAAGTTTCACAGTATTTCAGTATTAAAGTATTTTAAAGAAGTAGCTCTTGGAATGAAAGTTTTTTCGACACTTCAAAAAGAAAATAGAATTTATGACTTTTTTAATGTCTTTCACCATAAATGAAACAATTTTTTTAAAAAACCCGGAACATTCCAAGAATTTAAAAGATATTTATTTTAGAAGAAGTATCAGAACTGTCAAAGAGGGGCTTTTTTAATCCTCAAAAGACAGCTAATGAATATGGATAAATTCAGTAGAAATAGAAAGTTTTCGTGGATTTTCGTCTTCCGTACAACTGTCTCATAACAGCCGCAAAGATATATATATATATATATATATATAATATATATATATATATATATATAATGCACTTCCTGATAATTTTTTCTCCCGAAATTTCTTGGAAGAAGATTACATACGTGATGATAACGAAAATAATTAAGTTATGAATGGGTCTTATGTGTGGAATTATGTAAGGGTTATTGTAATCCCTTCATCGCGATTCTGAAAAAAATTTCAGCTATTTACTACCATTTTTCTGAATTCCAGATTTACTGTGGGATACTGTACAGATAATTTAAAAAAAGAAAAAGGAAATCAATTTTTTTTTACTTAAGATGTTTTTTAAGAGCACACAGTTTAATTCTACTGACCAGTCAAAAAAGCAAGTGAATTTTCTTAGCCTAAAATATCCTTTAATGTTTTTCTGTATTCTTACAAAATTCGAAAGTTACAATTAAAAAAACAACCAGAGTTATGATAACTTTTATGTTCGTTTTTATTCATATCCCAAAGGTAAATAACTTAAACTGGTTTACATCAGAAAGCAAAAAAAATAACTAGTTTATCTTCATTTAAAATGCTAGGGCCTTTTTTCCTGTTGTACCAAATGCTTTGATAGTTTTCTGAACTATTTCTATATGTGCATGTAATTATTCAACTACAGTGAAATACGTTTAACGAGAAAACGCTTAAGACGAAATATCGATTAACACGAAATACTACAACGGTATGTATTTTCTATGTATTTTCCAACTACTATGTATTTTCATGCATTTTTTTGTCCACACGAAACAAAAATCGCTTAACATGAAAAAATTTCTATTCTGGGAATGAACAAAATACGGAAAACACCAGCAGCTCAAATGAGATTCAAGTAGGGTGTGATATGAAAGAGAGGTGGTTTCATGTGTTTCGTAGAAAGGAGGCAAACTTGACCTTGAAATATGTTCGGAATACTATGCGACACGTGCCCATATTATTTTTCTTAGATACTTTCACCCCTCCACCCCCTGCAAATGCCACACAAAAACATCTAATCTCTCATCAGTTGGTTTTGAAATTCGGCGAGAGTACATCGGAATGTGTGTAAAAACCAGTAAGTTTGGTTCGAATTACTTTTTTCTATTTGAGAAGAATTTTTTCTCGAGCATAATGGCAAAGGTCTCAGTGGGAAATCAAGCTACTATTTGGCTTAAAATAAAGATGGGGCTTCTTATGGCTATTGATCCAAAACAGAAGATGAAAACGGAAATCTATAAGGATTTTGGTATTTCTCACTCAACTTTGTGAATAATTATTAAAAAAATAGCGCAAATTACTTAAAAGTTTGAACCGTTTTTGTTAAATGTATGCATATACACAGATCTATGTAAAATAAAATGTATAATCAACTTAATTTTGTTTAATAAATGGATTTTTTTTGCAATGTTCTTTAATACGAAATTCTTTTAACACGAAAAAATTTCAGTCCCCTCGGTTTCATACTAAACGACTCTCACTGTATTTCTAAAAAAATAGTTGAATTTAGAATTTATACATTTTTAAAGAAATTTTCAAAAAGCCTTCATAAAAAAATGTATTTTATGAATATCAATCACGTTAGTAGAAAACCCATACCAATTCTTGCGACATGTAGTCTAATGTACTTTTAAATCAAATTTCAAGTTTATACACGTCAATTATTGTAGAAAGAGCGGCATTTCAAAATCAATTCATGAAATTTTAAATTATTCTGGGGAAAATCGAAAAAAGTTTGAAAACCATTAAATCAATCATACGTATTTTTTATAAATCATACCATGTATCCTCTTAACCGATAATAATAATAAAATAAAACTATAAGAAAAGGTTGCATAGAATTTTCAGCATTGATAAATATTTTTCATTTCTATTTATTGTGCTAGTTAAAGAAACTATATTTTCTTTGTAAATACTACGAAGTCTTAAAAATAGATATAGATTAAATATCTAGAAAGCCTTTAGATATTCATTTATATTCTTAATTATAGAAAATATCGTGAAATTTGTTACATTGAGTCACAAATAAAATTAAAAGAACTTTCGCTTTGGGTTATTAAAAACAAATTTTATGAATCAAATATGAAATGGAATAATCTTTATAAATGAACAAGAGAAACACATATATCTAACAAAAAACAGTACTTCTCATACAGACCGGCAAAAAAAAAACTACACCTGAAAAGACAAATGTAAGAATGATTTAAAGTAAATTAAGTTAAAAATTTAATCAAAAATATTTCTTGCTTATTTTTATTTTCACACACCTTTTCCATTTAATAAAAAAATAAAATGAAATTAAAAACCGAATAACAGAAAATTTATTTCATTAAAATCTTGCCCCCAAATTTTTTCCATTGTACTGTGGACGCGAAGGAAACTTAAGTTAATTTCAAATTTTACAGTGTTTGAGCATATTTATCAGAAAAATTAATTTATACCGAAATGTAATGTATAAGATTGTATTCCTTTGCCATAAACAAATGAACCATTTAAAAAGTAGATGCAAACTTTAAAAATAAATTGAATTTCCGCGAAAAACAGCTGTTAGTAATTTTATAATTTCGATATTTTTCTTAATTTTTTTATTTAAAAAAAAAGACCTGTAAGTAATTTTATACCAAAAGATATTTTTCAAAATTTTTCCTTTGCATGTTTGGTTTTTGGAAGTTTCTTTTTCCTTTTCTAGTTTCTTTTTTCTTTGGGAAAAAGTTAAAAAATTTAAAAAAAGATATGCGTTAGAACAAAAATTAATTAGAAATTCCTAATAAGTAAGCTTTCTCTGTTAACGTCACGTAAAGAATTTTTTTAACGGACTTTTACTTATAATTATTACTTTTATTAATGAAATTTCACGCTTTCTAGCTTTCATTACTATTCTAACAAAATTCTTTTATATGTAAAAGAATAATAAAAGAATGTAGTATATCAATTCAATGTTCTAGATTAAATTATTAAAATGAACCAAAAAAAAATATTGGGTTCATATTTTTTTAATTACTTAAATGGGGAAAATCCTACGCTAAGGTGCTTGAGAATAGAAAGCAGTAAGCAAAATTAATATGAATGATTTTAATTTGAAATAAATATATGTATATATTGTATCCTATGTTTTAAATAAGAATTTATAAATATTACATATAAATTCATATAAAACTAAAAGGGTTGTTGTTCAGTGTACGTATGTAAATGTAGAGCGCCCTCTAGCGCTCAGAGTGTCTAACGAATCTGTGTAACCTCTGACTCCATCGAGTAAGGAGTCAAATCGAGCGAGCTGAGCAACAAGTAATAAAAACTACAGTCCACTTACTGAGAGAGACCTTTTTCTTGAGTTTTACTTGTGTACCCAACATTCTGGTCCAGTCTCAACCGGAGAGACCTATGCGTTGAAAATACGAGGTATGTGCTGTTGTTTTTTGACTTTTCGTTGAAAAATCGAACTTTAAACTTTAACGATGTTTAAAGGAGCAAAAAAGAAGACTTGAGGCGAATCGCTTCTGAATTAGAGTTGTGTGTCAGTGATAAAGTAACTGTTTTAGACTTGATGGATCTTATAAAAAACTGTGATAGATACAAAAACGATCCTGATTCAGTGCATGAGTTAGCAAATTTAATTATCGAAGAAAGGAAGTATGACGAAAGTCAGCAATTAGAGTTAGAAAAAATAAGAGAAAAGTCTAAGCTTGATTTAGAGATAGCGAGAATACGAGCAAATGATAAAGACAATAATACTGAAGTTAATTGTAATGATTCCTTTTCTGTGGATTCTTTAATTAAAAGTATCCGCACACTTACAGTGAAAATTCCCGACAAACCTGAGGGATGGAGTTTCTTTTTTTTTATCATTAGAACGTGCATTTGCAGCCAAAAGTGTTACTGATAAATTTAAGCCTGAGATTTTGTTAAATTTATTAGGAGAAAAAGCTGCAAATATCATTATATATCTGAACGATGAGGATCTTAAAAATTATGATAAAATAAAGTCCATAATACTCCAAGAATTTGAGCCAACTCCTCAATCGTGTTTAGAGAATTTTAAGAAAGCAACACGGCAAAAT